ACTTTGGGAAACTATAGGATACGCCACATTGTTAGACGCTACAGGACTTTGATTTGTGTTAGACATATCTAGTAGCCTTGTGTCATTAAAAAAAGTGGAAGGGATAAATTTACGTTTTGGTGTATTTAGGGATCAGGTAGCATAAAAAGCAATATAGAAGTGAATTTAATCGCATGAAACCCCAGTGTATTGTTGTTCAACTAGTTATTCCTTTTCATGAAGAACATAAACAATATATAGAAAAATCACGAAGATGCATTCTTGCAAAGTCAATCATTTTTCCCCACATTATGGAACCTTATTTGATATATAAAATTTTCCTAACGACCCGCTTCTCATATATTATAGCTTGTAGATTAAATTTAATTATGCGTATATACCTAACCTGCGTATAAAGTCAAGATGCATCAAAATAAATTTCTTAATGAGTTTGACCTAGGATTTGTTAAATATTCTATAGTACATTCGCACATAGAAAAATAAAGTCTGTTCTTCAACAAATTTCATTAACGAAATAGTTAAATCTAAAAGTAAACGGAGGGATCAGGTCCGGTACGTTGTCCATCATCCATGGAATTCAACAGAGTTATACTCGACTCATCCAATTCGAAATCTAACACACAAAAGTTTTCGGTAATACGTTCCTGTTTGACAGATTTAGGGATCACAACAATACCCAACTGCAGCTGCCAACGGATCAGAATCTGGGCTGGTGTGCAATGATATTTCTCAGCCAACGCTACGATTGTGGAGTTGGAAGCAAACTTTCCATCGCCAAGTGGTCGCCATCCCGTTATGACAATGTTCTTTTCTTTGCAATATTTCCTCAGTTTAGTTTGCTGAAACAAAACATGCAGCTCAATTTGATTCACCATTGGAGAGACAGAGCAAATCGACAGGATGTGTTCAATATGCTCAATATTGAAATTGGAAAGGCCAATGGCACGCACCTTTTTGTCATTGTAGAGCTTCTCGAACGCACGCCATGTCTCAGTTAACGAGTTCATGTCTTTCCCTGGCCAATGAATAAGATATAAATCAATATAGTCAAGATCAAGAGCAATACAGCTGCGTTCGAATGCTGCAAGAGCATTTTCATAGCCATGGTATGTATTCCATAGTTTGGTGGTTATAAATATTTCTTCACGAGGTACACCGCTTTCCTTTACCGCCTTACCAATGTAACTCTCATTTTCATATAAATATGCTGTGTCAATAAGACGAATACCAATCTTTAGTGCATGTTTTACTGCATTATCTGCTTCGTCAGCGTGTGATTTATACGTACCAATCCCGAGTTGTGGCATCTTGACGCCGTTATTTAGAGTAAGAAATGGGACTTTGGAGCACGACATGGCTTCTGGGTTTATAATTTTGAATGATTTAATATAAGAGCTGAAGATAAAGACTAACTGCTTCCAGAACATCAAACCATGGTAGAATAGTTAAATTTAAGCGAGATTAGTACATAATACACGATTCGTTCAGTGAGTGTCAGGCCTCAGAGAACGATTGCATTGCGCAGAAGTGTGTAGAATAAAATAACGATAACAGCAGCGTTGTATCAAGCAAATAATACCATAAATGAAGAAATAATTACATCAACCGAAATAAATATACATCAAAGCTCTAAATAAGTTTATATTACAGTTTTGTGGCCATTGATACGGCTCGTCTTGAAGAAAATAAATTCTCCATCTCCTCCAGAGCATGGAATTGGTCTTCCATGACATCAAAACGAAGCAAGACACCGAAATCCCCATAGAGAAGTGAGTGCATAGCTTTAACCATCTCTTTTAGGGTATCAAGGCTTAACAGCATGTCAAGATGTCGACTCCATAGTGATAAAAAGCGAATTTTACCGCCACACTCGGAGAGTAGACTGACCCACGATGCAAGGTCGTTAGAACTCTTCACCTCAATGTCAGACAAACTAAGGTAGGTCAAATGTTGCATAACAAAGGAAGGGATGGCACTGGCTGCCACCACCGCCGTTCCATTGCAACTTAACCAGGAAAGACTGCAATTGGGCAGTGATGCGAGCACGGAAAACAAGCCGTCAGAGTCCAGTTTGGTGTTTCCATCCAAGTTTAACTCCTTTATATTATTGCACAAATTTAGAAAAGCGCCAATATGTTGACCATCCTCACTCACAAAACGATTACGCGCCAACTTAAGCACACACAGAGCACACGAACGGTCACCAATGGCAGCAATCAATCTCATTATATGATCGCCATTTAGTCCAACATTGCATAAATGCAAAGTAGTGAGCCTTGTGATAATGTTGGCAAGTGCGTAAATTTCCTCTCCAGATAATGATTCTTCTAAGTCGTTATTGCTAAGATTCAAAATATTCAAGGAGTAGGACTGTTCAATCGAGCATAGTAAAGTGAGTAAAGAGTTTTCCTGTGTCCCAGTACTCCATGAAAATGCCTTGGGATTACCCTCAAGATTTAATGCAGAAAGTACTTTGTTTTCTTTAAGAGCACCTGCCAGGCAAATGATGCTTTTACGTTGCAATTGACAGTGACCAAGATCGATATTCTTCAAGGTTTGATTGATTCGTAGCATATTTGCAAAGGTCAAAAAGCCTGATGCTATTGATGAATTACTGACCTCAGCTGAAGCATTCAGGGTGTCGGTATGTGTAACTATCTGAGTAGACCGACGTAGTGGCTTGTCAATTGCGTTGTTACGCAAAATTAAAGTTGTCAATACCTTATTCTGCTCCAAAGAAGAGGCGATATCCCCGAGCCCGGTGCTGCTGATACCACAACTGGATAAGTCAAGAAATGTTATAGAATTCATACCAGCCTTAGTTGGCAAAATAGGAATAGTAATATTTGAACTCTCCATTTCACAGTCAAGATCTTCTGTAAGTTCATTTTCAAACATTTCCGCATCTTGGTTCTCCATATTGTCCATAGTACTGTCTTCCGCGTTGAACATGCCCATTTCGGGAGCATTATCTTCATCATCGCTATTCATTTTACTTGCATCTTGATCAGTCTGTTTAGTTGATGTAGGTGAAAGCTTCACGTTTTTTAATCGTATAAATTCATGCATCAAATTCCGGTGCTCTAAAGACTCGTCAATTAAAGTTGACTTCCTGCGTTCTTGGAGATCCTGTAGGATCTCTAGATATTTTCCTTTCAACCTGTCCTGAATGCTATCCAATTCTTCCTCCACTAATTGAATCTCATCTTTAAGTATCAGTTTGATCGCCTTTGCACCGCGATCACCGAAGTTATTACCACGCAAATTTAACTTGCTTAAACGAGACCAGCCACTTCTTGCTTTACAATACTCTTTAATTTTCAGACACTTTTCAGTTTCCAATTTAGTATAAAGCTGCTTCAACTCATCTAAAAATGGTGTCAAAGAATTGGTATATTCTATGATAATATGCTGTCGAACAGATTCTTCTTCTTTAAAGAATAAGTGTTGCTCGTGCACAAGCTTTTTTTTCAGACCTGCACGCGTTCCAATCGCTTTTTTTTTATTCGAAAAATCATCATCATCTCCTATCTCATCGCTGTCTTTGGAGTTTAGTGAATTCTCCTCTTCGTCATCTTCGTCTTCGTCATCTTCCTCTCCTTCGTTTTCGTCATCTTCATCCCCTTCGTCTTCATCATCGTTTTTCTCTTCCTCTTCTTCATCCTTACTTGTCTCATCATTTTCGTCAATAGACAAAGTTTCTTCATCCGACTGTTCGTCTGAAGCAAATCTAAGACTTTCGTCAACACTTTCAGAATTCAATGCCTTGGGAATAAAATATGATAAAGGCAACAACAAGTCCTCCAAATCCAGCTTGGGGTCGTCATTATCCTCCGGAGCGATACTTTCAGGGGAAAGTGTAGTATCAGACTCATACAAAGCGTTCATTATATTTTCAATCTCTTCGGAAGTTAGATTGTTATTCGACATGTTTAGTGAGCGAATAAATTTATTGTATTTGAGAAAATATGATAATGACTGCAAAACTTCGTTGTCATCAATTTCCTCATGGGACCCTCCGAGATCATCACCCTCAACGGAAAGATGCTCGATAGACGTATCCTTTAATATATTAAAAAGCTGGGATGCTTGATCTTTCACTGTACAATTTTTAATAGAAACGTCGGTCAAATGCTTCAAACTGCTGCAAAAAGAAGTAATATTATCACTATCAAATACCACTCCTGAAAAGAAAAGAAGCTGCATGTTTGAAATTAAATGACTGTGGCATCTCAAATAAGGATATAGGTCCTCAAAGGAAATAGATTTCGAAAGGGAAGGCAATATCAGTAGGTTCCGAATGGTGGCACCAGACTTTTCAAAGCTGTCCATGTGACTAAGAGAAACTAAAAAACTTAGGAACTGATCTGCGGGCAACGAAATGGTGCTAACTGGATGGGGAACCTTCACTAAAGGCACCAAAAAGGCGCCATTATAGTTGGATAGCAGATCTTCAGTAATAATGTCATTTGAATCTTCAAAAGGATAGGGATCCGTATTTCGAGGCCAATACGATTTGTTAACTCTAGAAACAACAGATGCCATAGAAAACCGGGACGACCATGGTTTAAGATAACTGGACATTTGGGATGCTAATTGAATTGCGGACTTATCCATTTTAGCGGCAACTGCACCGTCTTCTCGGCAAAAGGCCGGCCTATTAATTGATCTTCTTGAAGTTCTAATAAATCTCGCAGAACAGCATCTTTTGAATAATATGGGGGAATCAGGTACCCCACTAGGGCACCAGTCTCGCTGCATTTTTTTCTTCAGAAACACTATAAGGTGATAAACAAGCTGTCCTAGTTACATATGAGAAAAGATAAAATAAATAATAAATAGATATAGAAAAATAACAATAATAAATATTTCAAAATGAACTTTTAAATATGCAAAAAGAATTTATATTAGGAATATCATGATTAGAAAAGTTACTGTTCAGCTTCAGCTTCACGTTTTCGTTTTTTCTTTGAGTGTAAAAGAGTTTTTAATAATTGTTGTTGTCTGTCTGAAGCGGAGGACTCAAGCACTAATGGTACAACTATGGAAGAAACACCACATAGCGGGCACAGGTGATGATGTTCGATTTTATCAAAAGTCGGTAGAGAAGAGATAGCAAGAACGTGTCCACAACTCCAAAACCCGACAAAAGAATGGTTTCCAGATTGTGCTAGGAAATCAGTTAATGGGCAACGTATCTCTCCATTTGAATTCACCTTGTTTGTTATTTCTCTTACATCAGAAGTTTTTTTTATATGGGAAAAATGCTCTCCGATGTTCTCAAAAGAGACAATATTTTGTTTTCTATCAAGCAGGTGCCTTATGATAGATTGCATTGAATAAATTCTACCTCCTAAATCGAATGCTGCCGGATACTGAAGAGGTTCTAGTGCAAGTGCACAGTGAGTCCATCTTTCAGTTCGCCACTGTTTTTCTGTGTTTTTTTCATCTTGAGTGTTATCATTATTACCAAACTGATTTCCATAAAACTTTGACTTTTGTAGAAGACTTCGTTTATTAGTCAAGGCTTGCCCATCACCACCCATTATTTTTCAACAATACTTTTAGGAGTAGAAACTATTCTGAAGTTTTGGTAAAAATAAAAAAAAATTAAAAATATAAAATGTATAGGAAAAAAAGATGCGTCAAAAAAAAAAATGCTTGATAAAGATTAAAAGGACTCAAGTCGTCCATTAGAATAAGTGAATATATAAATAATGTACATGAATGATCATTTATTTATCAATCAGCATTTAGTAAGTAAAACACTCTTCATTTTGGATGGACCAAAATCGTAAAAAATGGTTACTCTGTTGATCAATTCCGAGGTCTCTGGTGATTTTGGTAGTTCAAAAAGGTCTCTAATAGTTACACTCATATCCCGTATTATATTTAAAGGCTCAACTTTTGATTTCCACATCTTTAGGTCAGTAGGAGTGTTACCATGACGAGCACGAATTTTTTCTCTAATATAATAAAGCTGTGTGTCGTCCAATAATTCTAATTCACCATCGAATAAGGCAACACCAACCATTTTATGAGTTACTAAAACCTTGGCCATGAATTTCAGCAGGTTGTAAAAAATATATATGCCTAGATACTGAAAGCTATAAGCTAGATAGAGGTCAATAAATCTAACAGAAAAATAATGTAGATAAAAGAGGTTGTGAATAGTATTTAAAAATAAAAAATGAAAAAAAGTAAACATCTAAATATAATTTTTTTTTATATATTTGTAATAAAAATTATAAAGAAGAATATATATATATAGAGAGAGAGAGAGAGATAAATATATAGATAATATATGTATGTATGTATGTATATATATAATAAACTCTGAATTAAGTGTATTACACACTTTTTTTTTCTTCAAGGTTACCTATTCGCTCCTCAAGTAGGTTCAAGCGTGATGTGAGTCGATCTTCTAATTGATTGACAATCTTGCTAAAATATGTTAAATACATTGAAAATGAAGGTTGCTCTGGCTGAGAAAGCTGTGAACTGGAGCTAAATTCAGAATCAATGCTTAAAAAAGGTGACGATGGTACATCAGACGAAAATGTTGCCTCTCTTTCCGATAAATTCGAATTCAAAAGGGGCAGTGGTTCCGGAACCACAATGGGATCCCAAATAGTCCGAAGAAGAATTAAAGAATTCACTTCACTATGATAAATAGTCAAACGCCATCTCTCGTGGCTTCCATGTTTTTGGCATTCTTCACTGCAATAAAATGTAAACCTCTTAAATGAACAACCTTCATGGAATAAAATTTTTCCTTTAGAATGGTTAGTAACCCAAGAGTGCCCTAAAAGCATGTTATTTGGATTCACCATCCACTCGGCTTTTGTAACATATGTCATGCCATTCCAGGCATCAGTTGGATGTTGAGTAAAAAGCCCCATGTAACATTTTTGAAGTTCAGTGTTCTGAGTTTCTAGGTGAAGTAATAAAAACAACAGATCACGATCATTAACAAGGTTAGAACCACACCAGTATGGTGTTTCACAATCTGTGTTACCTTCTTGAGGTGACACACGCTTAGGAAACCGGCAACGCTTTCCTGAATAATGAATTGCCGACTCACCTTCGCTAGAAAACATGTCTAAATTACTTTTAGACAACATTTGACCATCAGTTGGCTCGGGCCCGTACTTACTAACTAGAATAGCAAAAAGTTGTTCCTCATTGCCTTTATATTTATGTAAATATTTAGTGACCAACTGAAGTTTTTTGGGGTTGTATAGTTCATAAAATCTGTACAGACGCCGGTAATACCTATTGTGAATGCTCTCCTCGATACCATCGTTATCTTGAGGAATGCTATCGGAAAACTGAACACTTGAATCACATTCTTCTTTACAGGAAATGCTTATTTTTGAATGAAAATTATTTGAATCTTGTAAATCATGTAATGGTATCTCGCTTTTATCTTTTGATTTCAACAAGGAATCATCAATAACTTGATATGAACCGCTCATCCCACCCTATAAATGTACTGTTAGGCTTGTCATAATTAAGAAAAAAAAGATAGTAAAGCAAGAAATCTTAAATACCTATAAATAGCCAATAATATAGATATTACTTTTCCATACTAAATACGCATACAAAAAAAATCGAAAGAAAGCATGTATTTAAATGATACAAAATAATTAGTTTCATTTAATTGATGAAATATTGTTGAATTAAGATAGTAATAAGAAATAATAATAATAGTAATAATGTAAACCTAAAAGGCATACGGCTAGCAGGCTTCACCTTATAATTTTTTTTTACTATTTCAAAAAAGAGTAAAAATCAAAAAGATAAATTACTAAAGATACATTCTTAATAGCGTATTGTGAATAGAATAATGGCAATGGATTGAGATCGCCAATAATTTGCCAAATGCCTAACGTTATAAAAAAAAAAAGGCATGACTTAATCACAAGTTCACATTTTAATGCGACAAGGAATTAACACAATTCGAAAATAGTCATAAGTAGCCTTAAAAAGTGATACGAATGTTAATTCGAATCCACATGGAGGGGGTTTGCCCATTTGAGTGTTAGCGTACCGCCCTTAAAAACTGATAAGAGTCCTTCAAAAAAGTTTAATAAGGACGCGTTTGAAGTATTTTTGAACTCGCACCCCAAAAATTCCGGATGCGCCCAACCACCTGAAAAATGGGCGTATTTACGCATGTCAAGTTTTTTTGCTTCCCCCAAGTCCATTCTACATAAAGTCAAGAAGATTAAGGACGCCTCCTTTTCGGTATGTCCATTTTTAGATCTTATGACTGCTTTTAAATACTTATACTTGCTCCAAAAGTAATTTATTTGGGGAATAACATTTATGCAGTGATAAGAGCAAAGTGCATTCGTTTATCATCTGAAAGCCGTCTGGGGATTACGCACTGGAATAAGCGACTCCAAGCCTTTTTCCTTCCGCATTTATTTAGGGTTCTGAGCGTGGTATCTCTCAAAAAAAAATTTTTTTTTTTATTTTGCTCTGGGTAGAAATTGACTATCCCTAACCTTGGAAATCTATCCTTTTTCTCTCATCAGCAATGGTTGATATGAAAACTCAGATTTCAATAATCTAATAGATATTAACAAGTATAATGTGGGTAGATTGAAAATTTTTTTAAGGTGAAGGGGGGAAAACAGTATTAATATGAGATTTTCTTAATAAATTGCATGCCAAACCTGGATTCTTATTGACATTTTTTCTTTAAATATATTTTTGGTCTGAAAAAAGAAGTACTCATTGATATGTCATGTTGGGTTATTTTTTACTCATAAAAGCTTTCAAGCTATTTCTACTAGTATTGGACCCTGTTTTTTCGTATTATTTTCCGGGTTTAGTCTCATCTCAAAAATGAGTGACAAGTACAACCAGTTGATGAAGCTCATCATTGTTGGTGATAGTGGAACTGGTAAGTCTTCTTTGCTGAATCGTTTTGTTAAAGATTCTTTTTTTGAGGATCAAACACAAACAATTGGTGTCGAGTTTGGGTCGAAGGTAGTTGAACTGGATAACAGAAAAGTTAAACTTCAAATTTGGGATACTGCAGGCCAAGAGCGGTATCGATCTGTAACTCGTAGCTATTACCGAGGTTCAATGGGCTGCCTTATCGTTTACGATGTAACCGATCGTGCTACATATGAAAGCGTACCAATTTGGCTTGAGGATGTCAGAAGACTTTCCGAGATCAATGTTTCTATTGTTCTTGTGGGTAATAAAACCGACCTTATAAATGAAAAGCCTCGTGCTGTTTCATACATCGAAGCCGCATCGTATGCCCAAAAAAACGATCTTACCTTTTTCGAAACTTCAGCAGTTTTAGGGGATTTAGTTCCTGAAAGCTTTCTAAATGTCACAAAAAAAGCAATACAATATTTTAAACCATCGAATACGTTTGATGCTATAAACCCAGTTGATATTTCCAGAGAAGTAAAAGGAATGAGAAGTGCTTGCTTTTGTTGAAATGAAATGGGTATATTTCTTTTATTTTCAAAAAATTCCAAAGTTTAAATAAATTTTAGAATTCTTTGGAGTTTAACTTTTCCTATCATTTGATTTCCATTCAATTACTTATCAAAACCTAAATGTTTAATGTGAAGTGCCTTTAATCTATATGGCAATACTTTTTTTCTTTTATTTTACTTATCTCCCAACATTCTGTTGTAAATTATTCTTAGACATTTATGTTATATATATATAAATATATATATACCATTTAAAAAATGCCAACCCGAAAGCGTCTTCAATCAGTCAAATTACAAGCAGACTATCGGAAAATATCTGTAGATCAAATATCTGAACGGATTTTTTTGCTCAACTCACGTGTGTTTGGCTTCTCTCATAGATCCCTTAGTAGTTTGCGCCATCCTCGCATTCCTTTTGTTCTTGAATGCTTGAAGTGGAGTTCTAATATAGAGAAAAAAAATGTTAGTGAATTACTTGATATGTTTGAAGTAAACACAAATGAGGTTGAGAGATGGGAAAGGGCCGCAGCAATTTTTGACAAAAAAATACACGCTTTAGTTATTGATAAACCAAGGCAACAGCTTATTCTTTCACGAGAAATTATGCAGCAGCTAGAAGTTTTATGGTGTTTTCTCATGGATAGTAAAAACCGTATTATTACTGAGGATGCATACAAAAATTTTCATGGTAGGTTATATACATATTTTCTCGGTGTAGATGAAATGAGTCTTCAAACAGCTTGGCTTTCTTCGTTAAATGCAGACTTCTTATGGGATTGTAGAAATAATCGAGGTGTGAACTTTGAAGCCTTTTGCTTGTCAATGTTAGAGCTTGCAGATAACTGGACATTCTCAAGAGAATCAGATGATTTTATTGCCTTTTTTAAGAGTGTTGTTTCTTTTATAGTTCTACCGACCAAACCATCTGAGCTTAAGCATACCTCTTTATTTCCTTTAATGAGTGGAATGTTTTTTTCTGGTGGGATTATCGAAAAGGTGCTCCACAATGGCCGTATAGAATACATAAAGATAAAAAAATAGTGTATCTGAAATTTTATTATTTTATCTTGCTTGAAAGGAATAAAATCGTAGATATATGTAAAATTTTATTATTGTCTGAATCTTTTTTTTAACCCTCAAGCCTACCTTTAGTATAAATATCTATGGATATGTCAATATGATTTAAAGTCTTCTACAATCATTTATCTATAATTATATATTCTAATATAGGGTTTATTATTGTTCATTTTGTTAAGTTGAAGTAATGTCTAATAATAAGTATTCTTTTAAGAATAGGTTCAAACAACAGCAACTTTACCATATATATTCTAAACACGGCGCATATTTTGTTTTTTTGTTCTTTTCATTCTTTCTTTGCTATGTATTCCATTTGGGATTATCATTATAGTAGCTAGTAGTTCAACTAGAGATATTACTCTTCGCTATGATAATATTAACCGATATACTTATGTAAAAGGCCCTGAAGGTGTCTATTCAGTAAACTTTGACTATAATGGCCTTAAATACTCCACAGGAGTGAACACCAGAGTAAATTTCTCTTTACCAAAAACTATGTCGGCCCCAATTATGATTCAATATGGTATCAAAAATTTCAATCAGAACTATATGAAATACGCACAATCAGTAGACCACAATCAACTTCAAGGTGGTAGAAATGTTATCACTAGTAAATGTAAGCCCTTTCGTTATCCAGGAGAATTTAAGGGCAAAAATGTCAATGGGCATTATAGTCCATGCGGTGCAATTGCTTGGAGTCTATTTAATGATACCATATCGCTTTATAAAACCCCAAAAAATATTATATGCGATGGAGGAGCATTCGATGTAGATGGAAACTGTTTATTAGAATCAAATAAATGCGCAAAAAATGGTATAGCACTTCATAGTCAAGTCCGAATTCGCCAGAATTCACCTGACAAAACAAGCAATCCTGAACCTATGTGGACCAATAAGGGTGATATGTCATCAAGTGACCCATATTTACAACATGGGTATTATTTTGGAGAACCTGGACATAAAATTCCTTCAATTACAGATGAGGATTTTATTGTCTGGTCTAATTTGGCTTACTTGCCAGATTTTTTTAACAATTATCGCATTGTTAATACCGATTTGGAGGCTGGTGATTATTATTTTAATATAACTGAACAATATGATGTTGTATCATTTTCAGGTCAAAAGTATGTGAGGCTAATATCATACAATTGGCTAGGAGAAAAACAATATATCTTAGGCATTTTATTGCTGTCTATAGGATGCATTTTCTTTTTAGATTCAGTAGTTGTGTTAATATTTAAGCATGTTATTTACAAATGAAATAATCACTTCTGCATATATTTCTTTCTTGTTTAACTAACATTTTATTACTGAAAACTGTTCCTTAATATTATTGTTTAAATTTATTGGATATTGGGGTTATATATCTTTAATATCTATATAAAAATATTAAGACATTGCTCGAACTTTTTATGTGTGTTCTCATAGAACAAAGGATATTAATTTTAAGTACGGAAGTCTTTACCTAAATCCCGGTAGTCTATAAAAATAATGAATAATGAGTTGCATATGTTTTTGCGTTTCTTTAAATTATTAAAGTATTGTTATTAAATCAATTTAATGCTAAAGGCTTTGTTTAGCATTAATATTACCAATTTGAATATTTGTATGATTAGCTTCAAATATTTCTCTTGCTATGTGCTTTGGCATCCAACACTTTAATAGTTTATAAGTTATTAATTTTTTATAAAATATTTTTTTGGTATATATATCAGACTATTTTCAACATTGTATACAATGTCTTGGCAAGACTATATCGACCAAAATCTTATTGGGAGTGGCAACATGCACAGCAGCGCAATTATTGGGCTTAAGGATGGTTGTTATTGGGCTCATGGAGGAGCTTATGTTCCACAGACAGAAGAAATCAAGCTGATTCAGAAGTCATTGGAAAATCTATCACTAATAAATTCTTCTGGAATTATTATTAATGGGGTTAAGTTTTTCGGGTTGCAATCCGGCGTTGATGGTAATTCTACTTTTATTTTTTCAAAAAAGGGGCTGCTGGAGGATGCATTTATACGACGAAACAAGCATTCATTATTGGCGTTTATGGTAATCCTGATGCTGTCAATTCTCTTCAGGAAGGTCTTCAAGGTCAAAATACAGAAGAAAAAGTAGTAAACCCAGCCTTATGCAATTCATCTGTTAAATCTATTGCCGAATATTTGATTAAATTGGGATATTAAAGACCAATTAAAACATATAAATCCCTTTTATATTTTATTGATGATAATATATATTATGATCCTTGATATAAATTATGTATCCTTATTTTTTCAGATCCATTATCAGTTATTATCGAATTATCTTAACAAAATATCGGTTATTAGCCAAAAAAAGGAAACTTTAAATGCATGCTTTTCATGGAGTTCCGAATGCATTAGTTTTTGAACAATAATTAATATGGTTATTGTATTTTCTCTTTTTAAAAAGGAAACTAAAGACTTAAGATATGCCTTATGTTTTTCATAGATGCGATCAAGGCATGAGATGTATTTGTGGCATGCCAATATGCTCAACTTGTGCTCGATTGTGTACCGCATGTGATAACCTAGTATGCCCAAATTGCATTCCACCAAATATGCTTCATTGCAAGCGGTGCTGCCTTGCCTACTTTCAAAATTACAGGTACCGACTCTGATTTTCTGTGTTGTATTGTATTCATAGGTAGGTCAAACCTAGCAAGATTAGCACATGAAAATAAAACGAAAATAATTTGGCTTCTGTACTATTTTACCATTTGAAAGTAGTCACTAGTCAGATATCGTTACTAATTCTCATTTTGCCTCTTCAAAACATGCTAGCTTTTTGCTTTTTAGAGACATAGCGATTATCTTCGTTAGACATACTCAGATAGTTTTTGACAGATTCTACTCTCTTTGTATTGTAGATTCTTAACAATTCTAGGTATTTTGATCATTTTGTATAATTAAATCATATGTTAGTGAAAAGCGTGTATAGATGTGTTTTACCTGTTGTTAGAGCGACTATCTTACGTCCAACATGCTGCTTTTCAATAGCTCAGGTACGCAGACCTTCTGTTTGTATTGAAAATTCTCTACCAACTTTTTTAATCGATGCAGATAAACCACCTTTGCTAGAGTGCGGAACTGGCCAACCAGCACAAAGGGGACGAAGGAAACCACTAGTATGGAAGCGTCGGCATCCCTGGTTTGATCGTCAATGGTCTTTAGATCTGAAGCGTATAAAGAAGGGCCCCGAAACACCGCACTTTCCAGAAGGAGTTCCCTTCACTCCCATACGGGCTTTTCAGTCCTTTTCAGGACGATCTTGGAAGATCAACGCGGGAAGGCGCCGTAAGATTCGTCTGTCGCTTAAAAGAGGTCGTAAGAAACTTTTATAGTCTTCTGGCTAGTTTGATGCCACAGTTTGTCGGCCGTCTTTTCCCGTCGTATTTTGACTTAAACCTTACTCAGGTCGTCGATTAGTCTTAAATTTCGTAGGTTCCATGTGTCTTTCATTCAAAATCCCTTATGATCACTCTTTTTTTCTTTACCTCCATTTTTTTCCTTAGAGTTTACAATATTTCCGTAGATAACAGATCTCCCCATGAAGCGTTTCCACCATCTCTTCCTTATACTATTAAGCTTGACTACTGTTTTCTTCTTTACAGAGTCCCTTGCCGCAACTAGTTGCAGTTTCAAAACGCAAAGAGTGCAATGCGGTAAATTGGCTTGTAGTAAAACAGAGCATATATGCATTCACTGTAAAGAGGACGCGGACTGCTATCCTGGGTCCATGGAATGTGTCCACACCACCGGTGGGTGTCGTGTTAGGATTCTGCAAAAGAATTTTAACTTTAGAATCATCTTGGCAATGGCTACTGGGATTATGGTGTGTGCAATCGGGGTGATTTCAGGCTCCGGTGGTGGCGGTATTCTAGTACCATTATATGCCGCTTTAATTCAGCTTCCCTTGGAAACGGCGGTAGGGATTTCCCAGGTCACTGTGTGTGGGCAAAGCGTCTTAAATGTATTTATGTCTACCCGAAGAAAGTATGTCGACACCAAGTGGAACCGTCCGCTCATTAACTACCAGTACCTGAACTTGCTGTTTCCACTAGGTTTATTAGGAACCTCATTTGGGGTATTGAATACGTTACTTCCCGATGCTCTGCGACTGATACTTCTTTTTTCGATACTATTGGTTGTTTTGTATACTACAACTTTAAAGACCCTAAAACAGTATAAAGAAGATATCAGGATAAAAAATACCGTGCTCGTTAACCTAGACTGTGATGCACCACCACGGATAGCTGCTGAAAGTACGACAACATCAGCAGGATGTTTATCTCATCATACTCCACAAGAGCAGTACCCTATTAAAAATTTGCTAATGTATGTATTCTATTTCATATTGTTGCTCGTATCTAATATTGTTCGAATATATTGTACATGCGGAGGTGTAATTTATTTGGTATCGTTGATTATACCACTCTTAGTCCTTTTTGGAGGGTATTGTTATACATATCGAAAATTGAGTAATTTACACCGTGTGTGCCCTGATGCTATTGCCTTTAATTGGGAGCGTAGGACCGCTTTGTATTACCCATTTATTGCCATCCTTGCTGGTGCCGCAGGCGCCTTATTGGGCATCGGTGGGGGTGTAATACTTGGTTTCGTTCTTTATAATATAAACTTGGTCCCAGACGAAGTATCGGTAACAGCCAACGTGGTTACTTGCTTTATTGCACTTACCAACGCAACTCACGCAGTTTTAAAAGGGGATGTGCCCTATGATTTCGGCATCATTTTTTGTTTGATCGGTGTGATTAGCACACTTATTGGCAACATGGTTTTCTTAAATGAAATACGCAGGCAAGGGATGAGGTTTCTTATTGTTTTATGCATGGTCTTTATTGTGGTAGGTTCTTTGATTGCAACCGGTGCATATAGTATATATGATATATTACAAAAAGAGGATCGTTCTACTATTTTTATGTTCGGAAAGTTGTGTGCTTCATAAGTGTAGCACAATTAGTGTGCTGATTTTTGCTCTTATAGCAGGAGAATACATATGGGGAAAAAAAAATTAGCGTTCCATACAATTACTCTTTCCAGAACTCTGCATTTTAGAAAAATTCTTCTAACATCATCATATTTTCCAATCTCAACATTATTTATTCATTTAAATCCAAAAGTTCACAGAATTTAAAGTATGCATGTACGCTTACAGAGGCAAAATTCAAACAAATCTATTTCTCAACGCCTTGCCAATAGGCTTGGAGACAGGAAGTGAATGCAATCAAAATACATCAAAATAAATAAGGAAAAAATGAACTAATCGTATTTATTGAATTCTCCATTTTTCCCTTCGGAACGACTGATTTCAAAGGCATTTATCTTTTATTGTATATTGAAAAAAAATTCCGAGACTTTTTCGCATAGCGTAGATTCTGCGTGATGCATATTTTTTTATTTTGTGAAAGAAACTTTTGGTGGGGCACAGCGTGTGTTAATAATGACAATACCAATAATTCGATGCTTTCCCATTTTCTAACACGCGCTCTTGTTTATGTGCAACTATATTTATAAAGGTAAGTTGCTGTATTAATACTAGATTTTGTTGAGTCTACGGAAAGATTTAAATATTAAATATAAATTTCAGGTGTCTTATACATACGCCCACTATTTAAAACGTTGAATATTTATTTCTTCGCAGGTTCATTCATTTTTTTAAGTGTATTCGCATTTTGATCTCAAATTATACGTTTTTTTTGAATTATTTCTTTGTAAGTTCTAAAGCAAATTTTATTTGTATTTTTTTTCTACCTTACAAAAATGGTTAAGCTGCGAATATCTGTATTTTTAGATACACACTCTGTATATATATTTTTTGGTGTTAAACACTGACTAAATCGTTTGGCGCTTCTGTTTTTTTTTTGTGAATTATTTTCTGTTGATCTATATCATTTAGCATTCTTTGTATACTTTCGCTTTGGCGAAAGGACAGGATCCTAGATAAACCGTGGTTATGCTACTCAGGAACTTTTAGTCTGTAGTATAGTAAAGAATACATAAATTGCGTGCTATATATAATATATTACCTTATAACCTTTCAGTACAAACGAAGTATATAAGCGATCACACTAACAATGAAGTAGATGTCATATCTGCTAATCAGATAATTTGTTCTTTTCTACCTTATGAATGTTTGTACATGTCACGACATACGCGTTCCTTATCATTAATGATGATTAGTGATATAGGGCTCTATCATTATTGGACTTTATCAGTCTATAATAGTGTTAAAGAAACTATCTATTCTTGATATTTTTAATTTTGATGCGTTCATGCCTTCAGATACTCTCAGTTTACAGAACAGTCCGAGTTGTTTTTTCTTCTGAAATTGCACACGGCAATTATTCTGGACATCTCCTTTTTAAACAGTGCAATTTTCAGCATTTGATGGTTAGTTCCTTCTCAGTATTTGTCTAGAGGTGTGTTCTACTATTATCTGCGGACTACTTTGAATATTTATTGAAATAATTCACTTTTTTGTGTTATTTTTCTACATTTTTTTTATTGCTAATACTATTAAAAATTGTGACAAACCTATCATGATCTCACATTTCTGCTTTTCGTTCCAAATTTAACTGTATTTGGATAACTAAAAAGTTTCACTTTTTTTGTTGGTCGCCACTGCGTTATTTTTTTGTTTGAGAGCGACGAACGCTAGTGTAGTATATTCAAGTGAGATGATATTTGGACTGCGATTTGTCGCTATAGTTATTCAGATGAATACTATTGCTAAGAGGGTTCAAATATTCTCAACTGAGATATAATTTTGAGCTTTTTAATAATCAAATATCTAGATTAGTCAGTTATTTAATATAGATCTAATATTTTTGCACTGATTCTTGTTATATTTATTTATCATTCGAAGAATTTCATCTCCACAATTAAATACTCGTTCTGTCTGAAACAGACATCTGTGTCTGGAACATTCTGTTTTGTTTTGTTTTATGGGGAAGTAAACGAGGAGGTAAGGTCTGTTTCTCAGGCTTAGTATGGATAGTTAAAGATTTACCTTTGCTCAACGGTTGTTGTTGCAAGTATTTCGGAGCTGTCGATACTGTTTTTATCCCATACAGACATGCAGCGTACTGTTACTGATGTTTAATTAATTTTGGCCACTATTCATCAGTCAAAGAGTTATTTATAAATACAGTTTCATGTGAAATGGGTTCTTTCACTTCTTGATTACTTCTGCCTTGAATTCATGCTTGAAGTTGCAATTTTATTTTTGCCATTGAAATCATTGCTTTATGTGTCCTAAGGTTATTCCTTTCATTTTAAAATCCAAGTGTAAAGTATATAATTACCACTTCCCTTTTTTCGCACGCACACACACACTGGAGAATCTAACACATGGCTCGCCGCCTTTACTAATTTCCCTGTTGTAATATGTTATAATATTAAGGTAATGAGTTGTATATTTGATATGTAGAATAGGGGCGATATGTTACTAATGTAAGCGCGAAATTAAAAGGGTCTATTGACAATTATAACCATGTACTGACTTTTTATATCAGAGGTATATAAAATCTCAGGAAGCATATTTCACCATTACATTATAACATAAAAAACGTTTTTATCGTTAAAATTACATAATTGTTATTAAATTAAATTATATATAGGCATATTTTTATTTCAATTTTTTATTACCATGGACACCAACATGAGTTTGGTTTTGAAAAAAAGGGATTAATTAGCTTTTGGATCAAGTTAAAATTTGGTAATGTCTTTGTATAAATAAATAAAATTATAGTTTTATTATCAGTAAGCTTCATTTTTTCTGCGCCACGTCTATAATTCGTTTATGACATCCTTTTTTTAAATGTCCTTCATCTTTCTCTTTCTAATTTATACCAGTGGAGGTTATCAACAATTCTAAGCAGGAATGGATATCTTTAAGTCACTTACCGTAGGTGCTAAGTTTAGCCAATCTCGTAACAGTGTCCCTTTGAAGTTGTTTTCACAAGGAAAGGCACCTAAACCTTTGATTGGCTCGCTCGAACTTCTTAACCAGGTAGACAATGTCGAGGAAGGTAAAAAATTGAACAACAGCGTTTTTTCACCGCAGCCTAGTTTAAATATTGATATGTTTGAAAATGCATCGGTTCATCAAAGTGGTGGGATCGCTCCTGGAGCCATTGGAGGCGATTCACAAGGTAAAAAAACTCCAAAGTCGAATCCTCTAAAACCGATGAGCTATAAAAAAATGAAAAACACATGGCGGAAGTCTGACTTGCAGGTAACTGGTATCGATGTCCCACCTCCTATCACGCACTTTTCTGATTTGGTTCGTCCGCCTCTGAATGTTCAGACGAACGTGGTAGGAAATTTGTTTGAACGCGAGCATAAAACACCTACGCCAATTCAGTTACAGGCAATTCCCACGCTAATTTACCAGCGCGATGTTCTGGCGTGTGCACCTACGGGATCCGGTAAAACCATTGCTTTTCTAGTTCCCATGTTTACCCTCCTTAAGGAGCCAAGTCGTGAAGCTGGGGTACGAGCCCTGGTCGTGTCCCCTACTGTGGAGTTGGCACAGCAAATCGAGCGTGAGGCCTTTTTCCTCATGAAAGGCCAGCGCTGGCGCTTTGTTCAGCATGGCCAGACAACCAGTAATAAAGACATCATGATCTCTAGCCCAGGCCGTATCGTTTCGTTGCTGGAAAAAAAGAAGCTGGATTTGTCACACGTTCAGTACATCGTGTTTGACGAAGGCGACCGTCTGTGGGATGTCGGGACTGACTTCCTTGTGGTGGTCGACAAAATTCTAGCAGCATGCTCACGTAAGGATAAGGTTATTTCCCTTTTTACGGCTACACTTAGTGAAAAAATAGAGGGAGCAGCACGAACTGTCATGCGCTCTGATCCAATTCGTATAATCGTGAGGGGTCGGCAAAGCTCAAACATCAAGGTTCAGCAAAAGCTTGTCTTTTGTGGAAATGAACTAGGAAAGATAGTAGAAATGCGTAATCTAATTCGAGAGGGCATCACACCACCTGTTCTGATTTTTGTTCAAAGCATCGAGCGCACTAAGGAGCTCTACGATGAAATTCACTCCCAAGGGCTTCATGTTGCTTTAATAAACTCCAAAATGAGCATTGAGGAACGGGACGAAACTGTACTTAACTTTAGATTAGGTAAAACTTGGTTTCTTATCACAACAGAGCTGCTATCTCGAGGTATTGACTTCAAAAATGTCGGTACTGTGATCAACTTCGACTTTCCTTTATCAGTCGAATCTTACATTCATCGTGTAGGGCGAACTGGCAGAGCCGGAAAGCATGGTACTGCCATCACCTTCTTCACTGAGGACGACCGTGATCGACTTCCGCCAGTGGCAAAAATTATTAAAGAGTCTGGAAATGATGTTGAAGATTGGATTTTGGAGATTAAAGTGGATCGTACGTTGCGTCGCCGTCTCGAGAGGACAACACCACGACGCATGGTCGTAAGTACGCGGAAACGTATGCTCATTGCAGATCAGCGTATAGAGAGGCAGTATCGCCGTTTAGAAAAAGAGGAAGCTGCCAAGACCAGCTAAACAAAAAAGCAAAGCAATGTGAGTGGTGATAGTACTTTGGATCTCTCAAGGAAATAAAACAAAAAGGTAGAACTAAAGATAAAAATATAAATAATTACGTATAATATTCAAGTGTTTGGGTGTTTCAACCATAATAGTTTTCTTCCTTTTTTTTTCTATTTTATTTGCGACAGTTAGCTGCTGAAATTTTGTTAAGTGTCTTTGTGATGTGGCATTGATCGTCGAAATCGGAAGAATAACTGTCCTATGATGCAAGAAAAAAGCCGCACACGCATTTTTATAAATGATAACTTTAATGGTTGCATGTGGCATGGTGCATATGATACCATCTAAGTGCCTAATTTATTATTATTGTTATTATTTTAATTTAATCTCGCTTTATTTACCGAATTCAAATCTTATATTTTGCCAGGGAAACTATATATCAATAAATACATTCTAATTTAATATACAACGTGACAATATCTTCCCGACTAGAAGGCTTAATCTTTTAGTACATGTACGATGTCTACGACTGACGGTGGCTCTCAGGCAAAATTATTGGCTGTAGTTCTTCAAGGCGAGGATAACTATTGGTTTGCTGAGCCCCGCACCTCTAAACCATTAGATGAGAATTGGTCTCATGTAGGTTGTTTTTGGCTTTATCCTGTGGAGTTTGGGATTGCTCAATTTGCCGATCTTCAGGGTTTTGACCCCACTGACTCGGTATTCGAAATCGATACACACGGGGTATCAAAAGTTCTTCGTGCTGCTACCTTATCTTATGATGTTACGGCTAGAAAGTACGATCAGGGTAGGCGAACTTTTTATTTTATTACACAAAAAGAAATTAACCGCCTGGATCTTTGCTATAGTGCTTTACTGAAAAGGGAAGCGGAGATACTTCCGTCATCACAGAAACAAAATGATGGTGTGCAAGGCGAAAGTGGTACGATAAAAGTTGAAGACTTACTGTCCGAAGTCAATCAAGAGAAAAAAGTCAATCACTTGAAGAGCACCCATTTCAAAGAGAACGAAGGGGATACGACGAAGGAATTTAAGTCCAATGCAATCGCTCTGAGTGATAAGCGATCGCATCAACGCAAAACACCGTATCAAGGCACCACCGTTTATCTCGCCCCCACTTTTAGTACGCACACCGGGGACCATTGTAGTAATGAGGCATTCGAATGGCAACGATACTACATCATCCATCGTGGCAGCGTCGACTATCTAGTTCCCAAGCCCGTCGGTAATACCTACGGCTTTCGTTTGGACAAAGTTTCCCATGACGGCTTTCCCGTGTTTTTGCTCTACGGGAGCACGGTGAACAACAGCTATGAGGTGGAGTCTTACGCTAACGCGGTACCCGCAATGGATTCGGCGCTGCTGAAGGGCGGTGGCGGTGAAACCGACAGCATTGGGACTCAAGTGTTGGTGTTAACGCGTCAGCGTGGGAAACGAAAACGGATGCCAACCACGCACGGGAGTGCCGACGCTTTTTCCTTTTCCTTACAAAGTGTATCCGAGTTACCCTCGCGCTCGACCTCATACACCGACGACAGCGGCTCTGAAGCGAAGGCCCCGCCGCTGCAATTGGCGGTTCCCGCACCGCGTAGGCGCGGGCGGCCGCGAAAGGTGCCGCTTCCGACGCCCCTTGCGGAGAGCGAGGTCACTACTAGCCGAAAAGTGACGTATCTATCGCTACGCGAGCATTATACAAGCCATGAAAGTTCATTTAAAACTAATAACGAGCATCCTGAGCCTCTTCAGACATGTAGTGTGAATGTTTGGACGGATTTGACTTCTGAGATTCCGCCACTCAGTCAGCTAGTATCTCAGTTTCCTTTTCAACACAATCCCTCCGAGTCTTTGTGCACCACTGTCTTTCCAGATGGTATCTGTGCAACGTATTCACCTACCACCGCTGTGGATTTCTTGAAAGTCACTGATACCAAAAAGAATCCAAATGGGGGGAACCAACTGGTAAGCACTGGCGGTAGTAGTGTGCCTATAGATGATGATATGAGAAATCTTTTAGAGCATATACAACTTGCTAAGCAACAAATAAATGCGTAAATATATATACATATATTAAGTCTATTATCTAAGCTTTAGTTGAAGCTTTTTTTTTACGTTTTATTCCTGTACTCATACTCATAGAGATTGTATTATTGATAATGGATCTTAAATTTGAATGAGGCATTTTCTCACTTCAGATGCGCTTGGCGCTACCCTCGCGATTAAACCTCGTGAAATTACAATATTACGGTCACCATTATCATTATACATTTTATTTTAAATAAGCTTTTGGTGTGTATACTCCCCAAAAGGAATAAATGCTGCGGTTTAGAGCTACGCTCACGCTCTTCACCTCTGGAGCCGTACGCGCTGTGGGTCACAGCAAAGAATTTATGATTGCTTGTCGGGATTTACCAACCACGCCGAGTGGCAGAAATCCCTATGATGTGTTGGAAATGGATATTGCCCCTTCTACCACAATGGAAGATGTTTCTAAGCATTTTCGAAGCTTAGTTGTTAAATATCATCCTGATAAGCCTGGTGGCAGCACTGATAAAATGTCCGAGATCAACTTAGCGTATACGATTGTCAAGGACAATCATGATAAAGTTCTTTCAAAAATGACTGAGGTGGGGAATAACGTTAAGGCAAATGCGGTATACCGTCAGCATAAACACGAACGGGCCATCCATGATGAAGAATTGCGTCATTCTGGGGGTGTTTATCGACGCAATACCAAAGCTGCGCTGCATCCTTCTTACAACCGCCCCCGCTCCCTAAAAGAAATAGAACTACAATGGGAAAAGTATCGGGACGAAACAGGGATGACTGTAAAGAGTATGTGCAACCGCTACGAGGTTGCTATTCAACTAGGCAGGTTTCTTAGGAAATCGACCAACCTAAATGAGATCAGCGCACGCGAGCGTTGGCTTCGTAAGTCCTTTATTAAGAGTATTTGGGAGAATGTCCACGAACTACGTGGAGAGCTACTTCGCCGAGGAGCCCGCAGCGCGCAGCAATCGGAGCTTGCGGAGTCGATGGTGTCCTTCGCTTCGGTGACGCAGCGCAAACTAAACGAGGACTTCCAGCGGCTCACGCAGCAAAGTGTACAAAGTCAGTCTAGAATGTTTTTACAGCGTGTGTTCTTACTCATGTGCATTTCTATACTGTTAGTGAAGTTCTGGAAGTTGTTTTTTTTGTGGTGCTATAGGGCCACATCAAAGATGTACGTTAATTAGTGGATGAGCGTTGATATGGGAATTCGTTCTAGTCTTTTGGGGGTGCGTCATAAGGACAACCTGACACTAAAGTGGGGTTTACCAAATAGTGTTTAGTTTAACACTTTTCCATTTCGATCGCCGGTATACTAATGTGTTCGTTTAATTTTTCCTGTGGTTTCCCTCACATATGGTCGTGTATCACATTCATTAATTTATATTGTTTATCTTTCCAAGGCAACAATACATGTTTAATAAAGGGAAAGTATGAATATTGAACTATAGTGTATTCCGAAATCATACTTTCTTTCCTTTTCAAACTCTCATCGTTAGAACTACGCCGTTGTTGCGTTCTTTATTTACCCCTTTTATTCAAGGGAGGACTTAGAAGTAAAAAAAGAAAAGAATAGAAGACAGCAAAAGTGGTAAAACACTTGCATGCATCGATGTATGATGATTTCTTAGTTCAATGCTCAGCTGTGGTTGACCCTTTTGCAGTACCAAATGAGGATGAGGCAGAACGAATCAAGCGACAGCAATGGGTTGAGAATGTCGAAAAGGAAATGAATCTGCATCGGAGCCCATTTATTGCGGCTGAGACTGTCTGGAAAGAAACTGAGGCATTCGCAAAGCATATGAATCATCCCGACAAGCTCTATATTCATGTAGCTCTTCCTGTATTGCGACAATGCGTACCGGCACTGAATACCACATTTCGTGACGTCGTGTCCGCTGCTATTCACGAGCTCATTCCTGTTGTTTTCTTCACACGCAGTTCTATTATCAATGACCAACAGAGTATTGGTGCTGGCGATGTATACAACAACACACTTACACGCATCAGCTACGCCGAATGCTTCTGGAACTTGTATAAGGTATACCAAAATTGTGAGATGAAACTGTCAGTTTTTGAAAAGAAAAAGGCTCTAGAAAATTCTGTTATGGGACGTTTAGTGCGTTCTTTAGACAGACTTTTTGTAAAAATGTGTTTTCTTTCTTGGCGAACCTACTGTCGTACACTCCGAGAAAAGACCGTTTTTTTTCAGAAACTGGCTCTACGAGGAATGACATGCTATACAGTGCCACGTTTCATTGTAGCCTGGCGACGATACGCTCATACACTAATGCTGAAGGCAAAACTTGCCCGATTAAGCGACTACGCTTGTCGACTAGAACTCTTGTATCCCCAAGAGCGTTCTGTGAAGAACCTCCACGAGCGCATGAATGAGGAGTTGCGTGAGAAAATGCGCTTACTAAAAGCAGAAAGACTATGTGAGAAGCAAACTAAAGAGCGTTGGTGTGCTCTCCAAGACCTTTATAATGAGACCCAAAAATCTCTTCAAGAACATTGGTTAGAGTGGCGCCGGTGTGTAAAAGCGATGTTTGGAGACTCTCATCCGCATGATTTCAGTATTGAGGAGAACTTTACCCCAAAGAGGGTTGATTACGATTCAAATATTACAGATTCAGCTTCCGTGTTTATCAAGCGAGCCCGATTTCACACAGGGAAGATAGAGACTAAGCAAATTCAACAATGCTTATACGCACAAAATGCCTCACATTTGTACTCAAAGCAGAAAATGCGCTTAATTGGAAATGCTTTAAAAACTTCTGAAAAAGAAGATCCTGATATTTCTGATGATTCAACGCTTAATAGTTTTTCATTCGCCTCGAGGGATAAGCATAAGGAATTAATAACCCTTCTGAGTATGACATGCAATTCTGTGATTTCCCCGCTCCATCTCTGCGATATCATGCTCAATAACCAAAATGCGTTAGCAATTGTGCTTAACTTCATCGTTTGTATGTATGGTGGAGGTCACTGCTCATTGTTTAAGCCTTCCCTTCGTTTGTGTGCCGATATTTTGAAAAAAAAAGATCCAAACGTGAGATCGCCTTTAAAGAATACTGATGACGAGACGTCTGTCAGTGAGATGCCGTCCAATTTTAATGTGGTATCGATGTTGTCAGATGTTTCCCAGGGAATGGAGCGTCTGGAGTCCTGTTCAGCAAAGAGCGAGCGCTACCTCATGTCAATTCGGTCCTTAACGGATGCATCAGAGACAAGAAATATTCAGGATTATATCGAAGCATTGTTTCAGCATTTAGGGAATATGGGACTCCCTCTCGATCGAACAAAAATTGAATGCGTCACTGTTGAGTTCGTTAAGCCTGCGGATGGTCCGATAGTGCACGCGCTTTACCCTTCAACTGGAATTTCAACATCGTCAGAGTTGATCAACTACCTTACTAGCTTGGCAGAATTTACTGGTTGGCCATTATTGCGTATTGCTGAACGCCTTGAACTAGAGTACCCTTACGATTCTAAGGACGAACTAAATTCTAGTTTTAACGAGAGAAATATTACTCAGTGCCTGCAAGAGAACAGCAGCAGGCTTTCCATCATGTTCGAATTACTAAAAGAGGACCAATCTCTAAAAGTATTATCGAAGGAAAAGACAAAGAACATGTTCATGGACGCACTACATATGTCTTCTATGCACGCGGACAGTGTCTGGGAAGATATCGATCCAAAGAACAAACACGTTACAAAGCAGGAACTTTCTGAATTGCTATATATTGCCGCTCACTACTTGGATCCGTCACCTTTTTCAGATCCGGTTGTAAAGCTTCAAAATGTATTGGATAGCTGCAATGCTTACATAGAAGAGCTCAGTATTTCTAGTTGAAAATTTTAACACAGCCATGAAAATATATGTGCCTGTCAAAGGAATGGAATCATAGGGGAAAATCTTTTCACATCATTTTCATTTTTCTCTTTCAATTATTACCGATGTATATTATGTTAATGGGAGTGGATATATTATTCAAATCTATTATGGGCACTGCCTTCCTCCTCGGTATCTTTGTCGTTATTACTTGCATATTTCGTCTTTCAGACATTACCAATAAACCTTGTGTTGGTGTTCCTTAGGGTTTCTTTCCCTCTACATTATCCGCTAGCTTTCTTGCTCGGAAAGCAGTGAATAAATGATGCGATCCACACTTCATGCTCTGACACATATTTTTACCGACCTGTAACCCCCTTTTTTATTATTTTCTGTGTGTAAATATGTACGACTGGTAGTTTCTTTACTAGATTTAGCATCTTATGGGGTATTTAGCCACTGAGCATAAGACATTTGTTCACCACATCGCGCTCGATCCGTCTGGGTCGCTCCTCGCGTCGTGCTCGAGCGATAAGAGCGTGGAGGTTTTTTACCGCCACCGCGTCCCCTGTGGGGAGGATCGTTGGCGGCTGGGGTGCACCATGGCGGACCACTACGGACCAGTTCTCCGCCTTTCCTGGTGCCAGCACCGTGAACACGGCCCCCTGCTTGCCACCGCCGGGGCGGACCGGTGGATTTACGTCTACCGCATCGTTGTTTCCTCGCACAAAGGGAACCCCGTGGTGCAGTCCATCCGCTGGCTCCCGGTGCGTGGCTACGAGAAGGACGCCATCACGGATGTGGCCTTCGTTCCGCCGCAGCTCTACCAAGTCCTACTCCTTTCCACTGCCTCCCTAGATGGCTCCGTGCGGGTGTACGAGGTGCACAAACCACTGCAGTTTCCCTGTATTTGCAAGATCATGCCTGAGGCGTGTGGGCCCACCTCGGACGTCAGTGGGGTGGCCACGAAGAGGGAGTCTACGGGTTCGATCTTGAAAACATCGGATGGGATCGGCGGCGCTAGCCCCATCTCCCAGCAGGCGGAACTTCTCACCTCTGCGGCGGGGCGCCCACCTGGGCTGACTCCATTGATGCGATCCTCGGCTTCACCGGTCAGCCCTGCCTCCCCTGAAAGCCCTAATTTTTCTAGCGGGTGTGAGACCGCTCTCTGCGGCCCTGCTCAATGGGGTAGTGGGATTTCTTCCATCGCTTGGTTCCCTAGTGCCACGGAGTCAACGATGACTCTGGCAGTTGGGGCAGTTTCCGGCCGCTTTTACATGTATCGATACCTCAAAGAGAGCACCTCATTTGAATCGATCGCACTGCCTCCAGATGTCGTCTGCCAGTCGTCCATTGAGGGGATGCAGTGGGCCCCACCTTTAGGTAGATGCTTTCAACTCATCGCAATATGCTCTCGGTCAAGTGTACTCATACTGCGTATGAACACAATTTCGCCTTCCTATGAGGCGGTGGATAAGTTGAGCTTTGAACTATACAAACACCCAACAGGGGCGGTGAGTGCGTCGTGGAGTCGCTCTGCGACCTTGCTGCACTTGGCAACTGATGACCAGCAGACCGAGATGTTTGTGCTTCAAATGCGTGACCCGACAAACCACCAATCATGGGAACTCGTTTCATCTCATCATGTGCCGTTACCTAGGTTTTGAGCACAACTTTTTTTATTTCCGTATCAAAGGTTATGCGTTTTTTTCATTATATTCATCTTGTTGCTGCTATTTGTGTAGCGCTAGCCAAGTCTAGTTTTACCTTTTTATGTTTTTCGCTTTGAATTATCGAACCTGGTTTCCTCATACGGATTTTGACTGTTCTCACCTTTCTAATTAATATTTATTTCTTTTATCTATATATTTTTTAGTAATTCGCATCCACAGAGGTCTTTTTTGATTTCCCATTCCTTCCAAGTCATCGAAAGAATAAAAATTGCATTTATGCATCAGGGGGGCAATCGGTTCAGCTCGGCCAGCTCGACTGCTGAAGTAGGTCTTTGTTCTGTGCATCGCCGGAAGCGTCTGAGGGCCGACTTGATACCATGGGAGGAGCAGCCGAACCGACTGCGCTGCAACCCTCGACGGGAATGCCACTTTAAAGAATCTGTGGAGTACGCGGTTTGTGAGGTGCACAACCGTCGACGTAATATCAATCAAATGAGGGAGGTACGTAAGGGGGTGTGGGAGTGCCTACCGGACCATCTTTGCCGGCAGCACGGCCACACCGGTACCGCAAATGTTCGGGTGAATGGGTTGCCGACGGAAACGCCGTTTGGTCAGCCTTTTAGCGGTAGACGTCGTGCCCGCAACGAGCGGTACCCCAGTGACTCGTCCAATGCCATAAACTGGGCGCCATCCGCGGCACCCCTCGCAGCGGCTTCGCAGCAGGTGGAGACGAATGGGGGTGCTCCCCCAGACGAGGTCGGCGGCCATCTGTTGGATTCTACCAAGCGCCTCGCCACGTATAGGGGGGTTGCGGTGGAGCGCAAGGTTCGGTGCGCGCGACATGGTAAACTTCTCTATATCAACCAATGCGAGATGCTGCAGGATTGTTGTTATGTTTGTCGCGACAGCAGCTTGTGTCTATCGACTCCTTTGGACCCACCGAGCGCGCTTATGGAGAAGTCTCCCATAGAGGTGTTATGCATCAAGCATCAGTCTCTACGTCTTGCAGAGTTTGTCGACCTAAACACGGATAAAACTGGGTATCAATGTCAACGAGGGCACGCTTGCCGGGTCTCGAAACTTCCTACTCGTGTGAATCTCAGCCTCAGCAAAGGCAGCATACCTGCATCCCACGAAGCTAATGTTCTGCATCAGGGAGAGGAGGAGGATTTTGCTACAGGGCAAGGCTATCCTAGCGCATTAGCTGCCAACACTTTTGTGCCGTCATCAGGAAAGGAGACTGTTTCTTCTTTCTTTATATAGAAAGCAGCTCTGTGTGGTACATTTTGCATCTTGTGTGTGTGTGTATGGGGGAAGTGGGTGAGAAGCCTGAATGATATGTCACTAGAAGATTTGCTTTTCATACAAACAGCTTATAAAGGAACAGCTTTAAAGCACATATATACTATTTAGTGTTTTGTCGTTGTTGTTGATAATGGTAGCGATACGTTCTTAAATATTATGCCTTTGTCCATGCTCTCTTTTTCATGTAACAAAAAATCGATCTAGATTTGGTAAATACAACTTTATGACATATTTATTCCTGTCTTATGATTGTTGTTACTATGAATATTTAAGATTATATTACAAACTGCAACACACAACCTTGCGATGACTACTTTGGCCACACCGGATATGGCTGCATATTGCTTCGACGTTATTTTGGCGAAATTAAAAAACACCAACACCCCACAATGCCCCTCAAGCATCCCTAATACTTCATCACCTATTTTTGTGACTTATAAAGTTCTTCCTAACGATGATCTAAGAGGTTGCATTGGAAGTTTCATGTCACTACCGCTGCATGAACAGTTAAGGAACCTTGCATCGGCTGCTGCATTCGAGGACAGTCGATTCCCACCTATTGATATAAATGAGTTACCTCAACTTTTGTGTACCGTTAGTCTTTTGCACAGCTTCGAGTCGTGTTCAAAATGGGATGATTGGATTATTGGTACTCATGGAATTATCATAACATACAAACAACGTAGTTCCACATATTTGCCCTCAGTTGCCGTCGAGCAGGGGTTTGATCATCTACAAACTGTTAAAGGACTTCTTGCTAAAGGTGGTTACCATGGCCCTATAGATGGGAAAGTTCTTTCTTCAATACAGATGAATCGTTACCAAGTATCTTCTACAAGCATAAAATTTAAGGAAAAACAATTGTTGAAAGCGTAACTTAGCTTATTTCGCTTTTCTTCTTATTAAAGGAGTACTTGTTTATTCTTTTACAAAGTTCTATATTATAGTTAACTCGTGCTTTTTTCTTCCGACGTACTTTTTCCCTATACGAGACAGGATTTAAATGTGTGAATTTATATTAGAAATATATATATTTATATGTTTAGAGGAGTGATCTTATTTTTTCATTCCAGAAAGGTATTATTTAGAATATATATTTTATTGTTTATTATGCCACCTTCTTTAGCGAAAAAAAAAGTTTAATAATTTTATCACTTATCGAGAAAGCACGGATGATATGAAATGCAACATCGATTTTGATATCGATGAGAAGGAGAAGGAGACTCATTGTTTAAGACACAAACAGTGTTCTATTTGTTTTCTCATAGATACTTCATTTTAACCGTTGTTAGAACTTCTTTCTTCCGTTTCTCTTCTGTGAATGTATGCCTCATTTTCAAGGGTAATTATCTTTATTTATGTTTCATTTTAATTATACTTTTTCCCACATAAGAGAATAAGAGTGACATTTTTCATCCTCGTTACACTTAACATATTACTTATTTCCACATGTTGATTAGTGATACCAAGGTGTTTAGTCAATTATCAACAGAGTGAATTATTAACAATGTAGAAAACCATCCCCAAAACACATCCGATACTATAAATAAACAAAGTGGTTTATTCTACTCAAGGAAGGTTTATTACATTAAATGCTCTATAGATATATCTTCTGTAACGAATCTGAGTCCCAACCTGAAGCTTGGCAAGTAATGCAACTGTCTAAGTGGTGTAACCTAGCGATCTACGATCTTAACATCAACCGGATTGATAGGACGTTATAATAAGTCAGTCTGTTTATTTATTGCTAAATACATCCTCATTGCTCAATTTCATCAATCTCACGTCATAGGTGTCAAGAACTTACCAGAAAAGGTGAATACAATTACTATGACTCATTTTTTTTTTAATCTTTCATGTCTGTTAATTATGTTAACCTTCATAAGTAAATACATTTTTGGTATTCTTATTATCTCTCTTCTTTACCATTATGACTATTCTTATTATTTAAGATTATTCACTGTCCTTCTTTTTATACTGTTTCGAGCGTCTTTCACCTTATTCTCAATCATTATTATTGTCTCATTTTTTCCCGAATGAAATATGTTACTATATTAGTTATATGTGCCTTCAATTCTAAACGTGTTTTTACACATTATTATTGTAATAGTTCACATACTGTTTAACCTAATCTATCATAAATTTTTTTCTACCTTGTGGTTTAATTGGGTAAGAGCCTGCTACTTTCGAAGGCATTTTGGTATGGATTTTCTTTCTTTTTATTGTATTGTTTTCACTCTTAGGAAACTAAATTCACTACCTAATCTGAGGATGATTGTGAACGCTATTTAAAGTTTGTATTAGAATTTCCTAAAGTTGTCTTATACGCAATCACACGATATATATATATATAATCTTCCTCTCTGTATTTGTTCTAGAAAGGTCTCCACGCCTATTATCTGTGGCAATACTGCAGAATAGTCCGACCAATTATTAGTATACCACGTCTTCAGCGATGTTGAAACGCCGGCTTAGTGTACTTTTGGCGAAAGGTGAACGTGGACTATACTTTCCAATCAATCACCGCATTGTGGATATGCGGATCGATGCATCTGTCGTGGAGGAAGCCGATGTTCAGTCGCGTTATCGCCGCGAGCTTCGGACCAGTTTTACAACCGGCGAGACGCGCCAGACTGCAACCCCCGAGTGGAGTCGGCGCATCCCACCAACTCACTTTATCGCCTTGCGGTTACCGCCACAGAATGTCATAACCGGACGTGTGGAGGCGATGATGAACGCGATTCTATTTACGCATTCCCACATGGAGTCATTATTCATTCCCATCCCGAGATTACACGTCACGTTGGGTGTTATGAGCATCGCTGAGGAACACCAGGAGGACATACTCAAAGCGACAAGTGAACTTCTACAGGAGGCGTGTCGATCCGTCGCTGGAAAGCCACTTCGACTGCGATTTCGTGGCTTAGGCACTTTTAGCCAGGGTCGGGTGCTCTTCGTGAGGTGCATCACTGAGGGTAACTTCACCACCCTTGACACGTTGGTGCGGCGCATCCGCAAGGACCTGGGTGTGGGGCTTCGGATCGACATGAAGGGGAACCCCTTCGATACATACGTGCCGCACCTTACGGTTGCCAAGATTAAACCGGGCCATGTACAGGAATTTGGTAATAAAATTCCTATCACAGTTTGGTCAAATTACCAACATCATGACTTTGGAGATGTTACATTTGACTCATTGGACTTATGTAGCATGTTTGGCTATGCCAAAGACGGTTATTACAAGGTGGTCTCCTCGTCTAATCTTGTATCTAGAACCTCGGCGTCGGTGTGATTATTCTCTTCTACTCCAACCTGTTGGAATTTATTGATTACCTGCCGAGAAGAATTACCCATAGTTTTTATTGCGAAGAAGCACCTAAAAGAAAGCACACATATGCAAAGGAACACACTCAGGCGCCAATATGCAATTTGTGGAGAAGTAAGCAAAAAGAACATATGGACGCCGAAGTAAATAATGATGTTAAGATGGTCGTATTTCCCCATTTCAAGTTTCTCCTTTTTTTCATTTTACTTTTTATTTATTGCTCTTATTTCTAAAGGAAAAAGGGAGGATAATTATTTTTCACAGTTGTCTTGTTGTTGTTTTTACATTCAGGTACTAGATGTCGGCTCGGGTTCCTAAGCCATCTTCTAAAAGTAGTAGATTTATGCCCAACTCAAGCGGTCGGACTGCCTCTAAGAAACCCGGGTCTATTCTTCCTTCAAGGAATGCACACACCACTGCTCAAGGAAATGATCGGAAGCCACTTTTTAGCATATCCGAAGAACATAAACTCGAACTAAGGAAGGCCTTCGACATGTTCGACACACAAGGCATAGGCCGCATCCAGGCGCGCGAAGTCAAAGTCGCCTTCTATGCCCTAGGTTATGACGTCACGGACGGGGAGCTGAGGCAGCTCTTGCAGGACGTCCATGCGAACCTCTCAGATGGTGATGGTATGGTCGACTTCAACGAGTTTTTTAGCGTTTTGACTCGAAAAATGACTTCAAAAGAATCTAGAATTGAGCCCGTGCGTGCTTTTAAACAGATCGATGAGGATGACAAGGGGTATATATCACTGGATGATTTGCGTAAAATTGCCCAATCACAGCATCTCGATCTCACCGATGATGAGCTGATGGAAATGATTCTATTCTCACATACTGTGCCATCTGGGATGCAACATTCGGCAACTATGGGTGGTAGCAGCCGCACGAGTTCTGCAGGATTCGATATGAGAGAAATGTCTGTAGTCACCGAGGATGAATTTATAAAGCTGATGCAGCAAGCAGAGGCATATTTGTCCTAGTCATGTGGTGCATGGTTACATCTTTAGTGAAAATATACTCGTTTTTTGAGCTTTAGATTGTCACCCTTTTTCAATGTAAAGTATCCCGTTTCTCATATATATTTGTGAATTATTCTATTAGGATCGAGAGAGATTTACACATTTTTTTCTGCGATTCAAACGATGTTATATAGTCATTGAAAACGATTAGCTAATGAAAAATATTTAGTCAAGGCATTGATTATCTACTTGAGACTTCTTTTTTTCCCCTTATCAAAAATGGATAGAAATATTTATTAGCACAAAGAAGGTAGCTTCCTGTTGCATGTCTGTATATGGTTTATCCTCGTATTTTTTGTGGACCCAAAAAGGATTGACCGAGCTTCCGCTCGTCCGCGGCAGTGGCTTTCTCATACGCTTCAGAGAGTTTCATACTTTTTATCACTATCACATTGTGACCGCCTGCCACGTCTCATCTCCAGTGCGATATAAGAGGATATACGGGGATACACCTGGTCTGCGTGCAATTGGGGAACGACATGTGAGTACGCGGCTTCTTGTGCCCAGTTCTACAAGCCATCGGGTTGTGCACTCCTTGGAGATGGAATTCAAGCAACACCCAATGCCAAATGTCGACGTCGCGTTGTTGCGCTGTAAACAAGAGGCTCAAATCACGGAAACTGGTTTGCAACCCATTGATATCGACAAGGATCCTATCACAAAAGGCACCGAGCTCGTTTTTTGCGGTCTTGACGTCGAGGAGGAGCGGGCAAACCCAAGCGATGAGGGC